GCTTCCCACAAACAGAAAAAATGATGTTAAAATTCATGCGAAAACACAAGGGACATAGAATAGCTCAAGCGATATTAAACAACGAAAGCAAAGCCAGAGCCCCCACAATACCAGATATCAAAGACATACTACAAAGCAGTTATAATCAAAACAGCCTAGTATTGGCACAAAAATAGACATATAAATCAATGGAACAGAGTAGAAACCACAACTTGGCTCATGTACCTAAAATCCACTAAAATTGTGGAAAAAGGACAGTCTGTTCAACAAATGGTGCTGGTAAAATTGGATCTACACATGCAGAAGTATGAAATGAAACCTAACCTTATGTTTATACAAAAAGTCACTCAAAACAGATCAAAGACCTAAAATCTATGACATAGATGAATTACTAGACAGAAGCATTGTAGAAACTTTATGAAACATTGGCATGGACAAAGACTTCTTGGAAAATGCCCCAGAGGAACATGTTGTAAAGTAAAAATATTCGAATAGTATTACATCAGACTAAGGAACTTCTGCGCTGAAAAGGGAACAGGAAACAAAACAGAGGCAAATGATAGAAAGGGAGAAAATCTTTGCTAACTATGCAACTGATAAAGAGTTAATATCCATGACCTATAAAAAGCTAAAAAATTTCAACAGCAGCAAGACAAATAATCCGATTAAGAAATGGCCAAATAGCATAAGCAGATAATTTTAAATATTATATCCAAATGGGAAGCACGCGCGGGAGGATGCTCAGGATTACTAACATTCAGACACACGAAAGCAAAAACTACACTTCATCTCTGTTTGTTTCCCTTCCTGGACACAAGACCTGCTTTGTTTTCCAGCATATGATCTATTTGATCCACTTTGTTATTTGGTAAGACTTAATGAAGGTTCATTGATGCTTTCTTCTACTGGTAGTATATATCACATGATAAAGAACTTTTTTTTTTCCTGTATTTGAAGATATAAATAAAGTAAAAGTAGAAAAATACTTTTTTCAATGAACAGGTTTTTGTACACAGAACACAAAATAGTCACAACAAGCAAAATTGTATCACTTCCAGCATATCTCTTGAAGTTATTAAAAAGAAGATGGAGTAAAGCAAGACTTTGCAATTTTTTCATCACTTGATGTTAGTATTTTGTCATATCCACTTCATATGTGAATATTGCACAAGAACATTTTTGTGAAAACAGGAATTGATATATTAGTATTATATAATAGATATTATAAAAAGATAAAATGAGAAAAGTGTACTATTATTATGTAATGGGTAGAATTCTGTAAAAACATTTATAAATATCAATATTCCAAATAACATAATAACAGTGAAATATGTAGGGTAATTTAATATAAAGTACCATTATAATATGTATCTTAAAATATGATAAATGGGAATGTAACATTACTTTGCATATTTAAATTTCCTTATTATATGTATTAAGAAAATATTAAATATATTTACTAAAATAAGAATATATTATATATATTCTTCACATGAGAGAGCTTTCTGTGCTTGACTTATGATCTTTAAACTCCACTATTTTGCTGCACGTATGAGAACTTGATACTTTTGATGGCTGATAAATATTTCATTATATAAATTTCACATTTTTTATTTATTCATTTTGTAGAGTTACAAACCAAATAGAGTAAACACGGCTCACTGCTAACTGCAATACTTTTAACTTTTGTAACTTTTGCTTTGCTTGCTTGGCTAAGAGACTGTGCTGCCTCAATTTCCATGATTCTGGGATAGGCAGGGAATGTGTGCATTTCCTCCCTCATCTTATAAGCTATTGTAAATTGTCCCTTTCAAACTATTGTAAGCCAGCCCTATAAAAACCCTGTGAATGTGCCACTCTGGTAAGGGGCGGGGGTTGGTCCCAGTTGGTTGGTTGGTTGTCTTACTTCTCATTGTAATACAACTGTTGCGATTCTCACTGGTGTATGTAACATTCTGTTTTAGCAGTTGAGCAGATGCAACAATTTATTAATGAACAGCTAAGTTGTTTCCATGACTTTACAATTGTGAAGGGTATTACAATAAGTACAGGAGGACAAGTGTCTGTATTCAATGATAATTTCTTTTTTGGGGGTGGATGGTACTTTTAATGCACACTGTGAGCTTAGCTTATCATGAGAATAGGAGGAAGGGGTTATCAATCATGCAATTCTGATTAATTCTTGTTTTGAGCAAGCTATACAGGATTACTGAGTCCAGCTTTCAGTGCCCCATATTAGGGCCAGTTCCAGACAGGTTTGCTTCACTTTTAATCCAGCTCCATGCTAGCTGCCTGGGAAGGCAGCAAAGGATGACTCAAGTCCTTAGTTTCCTGTACCCGTATGAGATACCTGGAAAAAGCTCCTTGATCCTAGCTTCACATCAGCCCAGGTCATTGTGACCATTTCAGGAGTGAACCAGTGCTGTGTGGTGCAGCTGATGATAGCCAGTACCCCTTGACAGTGAGCAAATCAATGTGGCTGTGTCCCCCACTCTCTGTCCTAAAGGTGGGGCATAACAGCAAGGAATGTTAATTCCATCCTTAGGGAGAAGCTCTCAGCCGTTCCCCCAACCATGTAGGCCCTCCCTCCTGCCAGCTGTGACTCTCACCTGTTACCTGAGAGGGGACAGTATTGCATTTTTCTGTAACCGCTGCCTTCACTAACGCTGATAGACTCCTGATAGGTAGGGGTTTGCTTTCTCTTGGTCCTGTGCTCCTGTGTTGTTACTCTGGCACCCCGACTTTTAACTGTCCTAGGACAGGTATCCCCTGAGCATGGCCCCTGTGTGTCTGTATTCCTCACCCTCTGTTTACTGTTTAGGTGAGACAATGAAGATAGCAATGTTAAGATGCATTGTATTTCTGGTATGTGTGCTGTCAGGAGTTCCAGGAGAGGTGAGGCCTAGCAGTGATGGAATGTGGGCAGAGAAGGAAAGCAGTCATGGATGCCCAAAGCCTTGGCACTCTGCACCCATATGAGAAACCTGGAGGAAGCTCCTGGCTCCTGGCTTCAGATCGGCTCAGTTCTGACCATTGCGGCTTCTTGGGGAGTGAAGCAGCAGATGGAAGATTTTTTTCCTTTGTCTCTCCTTCTCTCTTTATATTTGCCTTTCCAATAAAAATAAATAAATCTTTAAAAAACAAATACATAATTTCAATTCTCTGTGTAATCACACACTTGAGGCACATCATTTAATATCATTCTTTCCGGTGTCATTTCTTTAAGAATGAAGTATGTAAATGCCCCCAAACTCTCTCTCTCTCTCTCTCTCTCTCTATATATATATATATACATATATAATACATATATAATACATATATATATATATATACATCACTCCCCAAGTGGGCACAATGGCCAGTGCTATCCTGTTTCGAATTCAGGAGCCAGGAACTTCTTTCAGGTTTCCCACATGGGTGCAGGGTCCCAAGGCTTTGAGCACAGCAAGTTTAAGTAACTTTCCAGGTTAATTGTTACAAGCTTCTATCAGCACACACAGACTTTTCCAGTAGCTATTCAGAAGCAAAAAATGTTATAGCAAAGAAGGGAATTTGAAAAACTGAGAAAGCTCGAGAATTTAAAAAAAAAATAGAAAATTACAGTTATTAAAACTTTTAGGTAAATACCATGGAGGTAGAATTTGTGGATAATTTCCATTTATGATGCGGGATAAAAGAGAATAAACCAATGTCATACATTTCCCCTCAGATGGGAAGACAATGGAGAGATGGGAATTTACTTTTGGCTCTTGGGGTTGCACAAACCCTAGGGTGAAGAGAAAACTGTAGTAAAACCGTGAGTCTCTGAGGATACAAAATACAGGTTACGATGCAGTGTACAAATATAATCTTCTGATTTCTCTGTTACATCTCAATTTTATTCTATAAAGGAGATGTAACACACCTCTATGCTATTTATATCCACACACATTCAAGTTACATGAAATTGTCTACGTCTTTTCAATTGGCAAATGTAAGAATGAAAAAGGCGTTTTCCTGTGTTGTATGATATGACAAAAGGTCTTAACAGTAAATCGTGTTTTATAATTCATAAAGATCATCACAGCACTTTATAAATTCTGCCTGGACTGAATACTAAAGAAACAAAAACCTCAGAATCTGGCACTGTCCACTGAGCACCTTAGTGACCAGAAGCAAGGATACGGGCGCATAGTGGTTTTTGGGCTTAACGAGGGTGAGTTTCTAAATTTCACGCATTTGATTGTTCTGCTTTTTTGTTTGAAACTCTAGGGTTTAACATATTTCTCCTTTCTTTTTCATTTGTGTATTCCTGAGATTTGAGAAAAATAGAGAGAAGAATCTGTTTAAGCGAAGTAGAGAATGTTCAGGGTATTGGGGGGCCCAATTTAAAGATTGTCAGGTCCCTCTCCATGGCCTTGGCATCCTCTATCCTGGATATAGGCCTTTTAATTCTGTAACTTGGATAAGTAACAATGTATCCTAGATTACTTAACTCTTTCAAAATTCCATATATATATATGGAATATATATGTAATATGTGGAATATATATTAATTAGAAACAACATATATGCCACCTAAAGCAGTCTTATCTATATTAGAGTTTAGCATTATGTTTGTTGCTAAGGAAATTTCCTCCAATTTTGCTGGTGAAGGTGGTAGTGGTGGGGATCTCAAATGACTGAATATCGGAAGGAAATAGAAAATTGATTCAGGCTCACTGTGCTTCATCACTTAGATTTCCCAGTGGTCACAACAGCATGTAACACCGCTAGTCTGCATGCCGATGGCTAAACTAGTGCTGCACTTTGTTAGGCTTGGATCTGATGACTAGAAAGTACTAGAAAGTATTCCTTAGGATCAGGAAAGTGAGAGTGGCAATTTTGTGGCTTCAGAATGGCTAGTCTCTGGCATTCTAGCACAGATTTCTCAGCTATGGGAAAAAGGTATTGTAATAATAGCTGGATTATTGTCTAATACAATTGTATTATCATTTGCTCACAGATTCTCTTAGAGAAGAATGGCACTTGGAAATAGCTCTTTTGTGACTGAGTTCATTCTAATGGGGTTAACAGACCGGCCAGACCTCCAGCTTCCCCTTTTCTTCCTATTTCTTGTCATTTATGTAATCACTGTGTTTGGAAATTTGAGCCTGATAACTTTAATTGGATTAAATCCACAACTCCACACCCCCATGTATTTTTTCCTTTTTAACTTGTCTTTGATAGACCTCTGTTATTCTTCTGTGTTTACACCCAAAATGCTATTAAACTTCACATCAGAGAAGAATATCATATCCTACATGGGGTGCATGACCCAGTTATACTTTTACTCTTTTTTTGTAATTTCTGAATGCTATTTACTGATGTCAATGGCTTATGATCGCTATGTGGCCATCTGTAATCCACTTCTGTACAATGTAGTCATGTCACCAAGAGTGTGTTCCAACCTCGTGCTTGGTTCCTACTTCATGGCCTTTTCAGGTGCAATGGCTCATACTGGCTGCATGCTGAGACTGACCTTCTGTGATGCAAACGCCATCAACCACTATTTCTGTGACCTCCTCCCGGTGATGCAGCTCTCCTGCACCAGCACATATGTCAATGAAGTGGAGGTTTTCATTGTGGTGGGCATCAACATCGTTGTGCCTAGCGTCACCATCTTCATATCTTACGGTTTCATTCTGTCCAGCATCTTTCAGATCAACTCCACTGAGGGCCGGTCCAAAGCTTTCAGCACCTGCAGTTCACATGTAATTGCTGTTTCTCTTTTCTTTGGATCTGGTGCATTTATGTATCTTAAGCCATCTTCTGCTGGGACCATGGATGAGGGTAAAATCTCCTCTGTGTTTTACACCAATGTGGTTCCCATGATGAATCCCTTAATCTACAGTCTGAGGAACAAAGACGTTCAGCTTGCACTGAGAAAAACCCTGAGTAGAAGAATAATTTGATCAAAAACAGTGTGGATTCAGAGTCTATTATAAGTCTATAAGAAATTATCTTCACGTTGTTGCTTGTGATGATTTTTAACTGAATATCTTCAATTTGTTTGTGGGACTTTTAATACTACATTTAGTTTTTATCTTGATCATTTGTACAATTTTTCCTATTCATTTGTTCCTGCTTAGTAATAAGGTTTTAGATGATTTTATCTCTGCCTTTCCCACTATTGTTATGTATTTTTTTTCATCTTGGAAAAATGAATAGTTCTGCAAATAATCAAATGAAGACAACTAGGATGAAAGTGGACTACTTGTAGTGTGTAGGATTCTTTGTTTCCAGTTGTCATTTGTTTCTATGCTTTTTTTTTTTACATCTTTGACCTGACATCAAGATATCTTTTTCAGATTTGAGTGTTTCATGGTTGTGTAAGTTTCCAGAAAACTAGTGAATGAATCTAGTTTTACAGCATGGATTATGCATACGTTCGTCAAAATACAGCAACTTCTTTTGGTAAAGAAAAAACAATGTTTATCTTTGTAAATCCAAGGTAGCCCATGTGGGTTGGTCACTAATGGATATTTATAACTTGGTAGGACACCAGCCAAGTTGACCATCTGCTTAAAGTCACACAATCTTTTAATGCAAGTGTCTAGAGTGAATACCCTCTTAATTTCAAAGTTGCTATTCTTTCCGATATACTTTCTGTTTCCTTCATTTATTATTTTGACTGATCATGATATATAAAAGTCATTTCTATTTAGAAAATTAACTGTGATTCATGTCAGATGATACACACTTTTCTTGTAGTGACAGTTGCTTTATTTGTTTCATGTATGGCATTTGATGGTTCTCTTTGTTGTTGAAGAGGATGCCTCGTAAGCTAGAATTAGATGGAAAAGATGCTGGAATCAAGTAGGCAAATGAATTTTGCACACAATTAAAACAAAAAAAAAAGCAAAAAGAAAAAAGTTTTAAAATGCCTACAGGTGCCTTATAACTAAAATAGGAGTATGGAAAAAGAGGTGTTCTGCAGTCTGGGTTCAGCCTATGATCCATAAAAGACACACCCAATACATTAAGAGCTCACGATGTAGGGTCTGCTTATAAGCTGTTTTATCTGAATTTATTTGAGTTACGTGGAAAATTATCTTAAAACTTTAATGCACAGTTTTCTACTAAAATGGAGTGGTCTGGAGAGTGAATCAAATTGGATCACTGATCTCTTGTTGCACAGACTTTAAAATCCAGACGCTAGTACAGGCTAATCCTCTGCCTGCAGTGCTGTCATCCCAAATGAGCACTGATTCCTTTTCTGGCTTTTCCATTTCAGATCCAATTCACTCCTTACGGACTGGGAAAGCAGCAGAGGGTGGCTCAAACTCTTGGTGCCCTGCACCAAGGTGAGAGACCCAGAAGAAGCTCCTGGTTTCGGATCGGCTTAGCTCTGGCTGAACAAACCAGTAGATGGAATCCCTCTGGTTCTTTCCCTCCTTCTCGCTCTGTAAAGTCTGCTTTTCAAATAAAAACCAACATAGCTTTAAAAGATACAGTTGAAATCTGTCTTAATATCAGGCAAAACAAACATTAGAAAAAATAATCTGCAGTTTTGAGGATTGTTTTAGGGAAAAGTAATACAAAGAATATCAGGACAGATTATAGAGATTAAGGGTAGTGAAAATTTAAAAGGTAATTTAGTTGATAGCTTTTAGTGACCCAGGTTGTTTCAGTGGCACCACACGCTAGGCCATCCTCTGCTGCTTTTCTAGGCGATCAGTGGAGATCTGAAGCAGACGTGGAGCCACAAGAAGCCGTGTCAGCGCTTACGTGGGACGCTGGTGTTACAGGTGGTAGATTGAGGTGCAACATCATTGCACCAATCCCTCAAGTACTTTATGTCTTAATGGGACTTTTGTTTGCTGTTTTTACTGTTTTTAATTGCTTACAAATTTTTGAATATTAATTCATCAAATGAGTAGCTGCAAACACTTTATCTCATTTGTTTGGACGTCTCTTCCTCCTGTTGACCATTTCCTACGCTGTAGAGAAACTTCTGTCTCATGTGGTCCCATTTGTCTGCTTTTGTTTTATTTGCCTGAAATTTTGAAGTCTCATCTAAAAAAAGCCGTTGTTTACACAAGTGTCTTGAAGTTTTCTCCCATGTTATGTTCCATGAATTTCTTAGTTCCAAGTCCTGTGCGAAGTCCTGATCCATATTGAGTTGATTTTTGTTTATAGGGAGAAAAAATATTTTTTTATACATTTGTATTTCCAGTTCATCCAGTACCATTCATTGAAAAGACTATCCTTTCTCTAGTGTATGCTTTTGACACCTTTGTCAAACACTGGTTGGCTGAAAATATGTGCATAATTTCTAGGTTCCAAAATATGTGCCACTGATGTCTGTGTCATTTATGCCCAAATAAGTTTTGTAGTGTACATTGATGTCAAGCATTGTAATGTTTCCAGATTTATTTGTTTAGGATTGTTTTGACAGTTTTGGGTCTTGCATGCTTTCATATAAATTTTATGTATATTTTTCTAAAACTGTTCATGTGTCACTTGTGGGTTTTCTTTTTTTGAGATTTCACTCAATCTACAGAATGGTTTAGGTAATTTATGAGCTTTATTTAAAGACTTATTATTTTATTTTTATTGGAAAGTCAGATATGCAGAGAGGAGGAGAGACAGAGAGGAAGATTTTCTGTCTGTTGATTCACTCCCCAAGTGACCGCAATGGCTGGAGCTGTGCTAATCCGAAGCCAAGAGCCAGGAGCCTCTTCGCGGTCTCCCACGTAGGTGCAGGGTTCCAAGACTTTGGGCCGTCCTTAACTCCTTTCCCAGGCCACAAGCAGAGAGCTGGATGAGAAGTAGGCCTCCAAGATTAGATCCTGGGGAGAGCAAAGTGAGGACTTTAGCTTCTAGAATACCGTGGCGGGACCATTTATGGGCATTTTTAACCTATGTTATTTTTTTCAGTTCCTTGAAATGATATGTCAGTATTTTTGTACTCTATGATTTGTTTTATCTGTGCTTTATAGTTTCATTATGAAGATGTTTTACGTATTTGGCTCAATTTATTCTTAACCATTTCGTGCTATTGTGTTATCGCAGCTACTGTGTTATTGTGATAAGCATTGATTTCATGATTTAATACTGTAAGATCACTGTTGATATATAAAAAGCACCCATTTATTGTATCCTACTTTTGCGTTCTGCAACTTTATTGAATTGGTTTATAATTTATAACAGTTTGTATGAGATTTGTTAATGTTTTTTGAATATACAAATGAGGTGTGTTGATGTTATTTTTTATGTTTATTGGTTTACAATTATGCAACATCCCTGTATCCTTGAGATAAAATCTTAAAGTCTGAGGAAGTGTATTGATCTATTTTGTTTCCTCTTTCTTTTTCACTTGTGGACAGTTCTTCCTATATAAGGAATCATTGCTTAAGCCAGGTGTATCATGATTTACTCTAGTATTTTCTTCTAGGAACATCATTAAATTATTCTCACATTGATCACTTACTTTGAGGTATTTTTATGTTGTGAAATAAGCATTAAAGTCATTAACAGATTGTGTCCATGCAGCCGTTCGAGCACTCTGTTTCAACGGCTGTATCGCTCCATCATATTGCGTTGACATCCATCTGAACATAACGTTATGATAAATAATATTCACTAGGCAAGTATACATGTATAAATTGATAATAAATTATAATGTATTTTACTAAATGTATTGCCAATAAATTGACATTACCCCAATAATTTGCTGTATTATTCATATTTATTTATTTGAAAAATCTTATGGAAAATGGAATTAAAAGACAAGTTCATTTAGGTGCAAATATTTTCTTATTTTCCTTGAACGTCCTAAATTTACTTCCCATGCAACTCATAAATATATGAAATACAGTTAATTTATCTCTGTACTATTGCCTTTAAATTTCTTTCAAATATGTGTTACAAAAGTCATTTATTACGCAAGTATCACTTTTTGAAGCTGGACACTGTGATGGTCAATTTAACTTCAGGATAAAAGCTTGCCCTGTTTTTTTTTTTTCTTTTTAATTGGCATATAATAATTGTACATACTTATTGGGTAAATGCAATAATTCAATAGCCATAAAAAGATCAAATCAGAATGAACATGCAGCTCTTTAATATTGATTTGCATGTGAAACCTTCCAAATCTCTTGTTCTAGTGCTTAATAAAAGGAAAGTTTATTGCAAACTAGATGGAGAATCTTTAGCCAGGGTGAAGCAGAGTCCACAATCCCAGGAAACAGGAAAGAACACGTAGACAACAGATGGACACCTGGAATAAACAGAGCCAGCAGAGCAGTATTGTAGTGACCAGATACAGCAGCAGCTGGAATTTCACCAGTGCTCAGGTGGGAATGGGGAGTTCACTGGGAGCTCAGAAGGTGAACACAGGCAAAGTACTGGCCACCCTGCTGATTCGCTTGATTCAACCGTGAACACTAAGCAGAGTGGCAGAGCCCAAGCAGGCAGGAACAGAAACAGAGTGGCTTTCATAACTCAGAGAAATCCAGGGCAACATCAGTGCCATTTTGTGTACTGAGGAAAAGGTTGTGGGGCTGAAGCATGCGCTAAGCTACGAATTCATTTCCAGACTGACACATTGCACTGGTGACACAAGCATCCTACAGATTCCACCCAAGATAGGTCCAGGCGGCCCCCATACCTAGGGACCAGCAGGTTCAGACCCCCACTAGTACCACAAAGGGCACCATTTTGTGTACTGAGGAAAAGATTGTGAGGCTGAAGCAACAAGAGCGAGCTGCACAGGCACTGAGTCGGGTAAGAACCAACTTCCTGCTCAATACTATAAACTGGTCTCACAAGGAAAATAGAATTGACTTGGCATGTGATGGGTTCCTCCCCAAATAGGTCCCAGTGGCTTTCAGATCTAATGGGCAGCAGGTTCCATCAAGGCCAGCACCACTGACAATCCAGTGATGTAGAACAGCTGACATTTCCGTAA